CTTGAGCTTCATTATCGATCCTTCCAATGAGCAATCAGGGTTGATTTCCTTTAAGATTTACAAGATGATCTCAGTACAAATATGAAGATATGAAAAGAGGCATTCCTTTAGATCAGTGTTTCTCAACCTTGGCCACTTGTAGACGTGTGGACTTCAACTCCCAGAATTCCCCAGTCAGCATGGCTGGCTGGCAAATTCTGGGAGTTGAAGTCAACATGTTTTCAAGTGGCCAAGGTTGAGAAACACTGGTTTAGCTACTGGGGTTCCAAGACAGGAAAAACTTTAAATGTTAATATTAGCACCTGGAACTTGGACTGGAAACAAATTGGTAGATGGTGTGTGTTTGTGTATTTCTTTTGGTGTCTATATATGAATGTGTATGTATCTATAGTTAGGTACAGAATTTTATTTGTTACTGTAATTTATTTTACAGTATTTGTATGTTTTACCCATCAGAAACTCTGGGCAGCTCAAAACAATAAAAATATACTTCATAAAAACATAATAAAACTTAAAGTCTAAAAATATATAATAAATACACATAATTATGACAAAACAAGCCATTTTCAGTTACTAATCAACCCTCCAAAGGCCCTCTGGAAAAGGATGGTCTTCAACCATTTAGGAAGGAATGGGGTCATCTCTCTCTCTCTCTCTCTCTCTCTCTCTCACACACACACACACACACACATATACATATACATATACATATACATATACATATACATATACATATACATATACATACACACACATGGTTCATCATATATAAAGACCTCTGTCCTGTGATAAACACTAGAAAAAATACTAGGTAAGCAATTAAGCAATGTTTTCAATGGTATTTGATATCCTGGCTCCAGGGTATGATCTGAAGACACATAATGAACTGACTTCATTAGTCTGGATGAAAAACAATCCAAGAATCCTAATACATCATCTGTAATTCAATCTAAAGAGCAGGTGGATATGTAAAATAAGCAAGCCTGGAAGAGAAGAAAAAGCTGATGCTTTAAGGAATTCATTCATTAAAGTTAATGTGACTCTTACAATAGCAACAGTTTTTTTTTTTTTTAGGAGAGAGTGGATGAATGAATTCCAGAGAGGTGCTATGCTAAAATGTATGCACAGTCCTAATGAACATCTCAGGATTAGTATTAGGATTTCATAAACTACTGTAAATCTCAACGATCATGTGATTCAGGACTAAGCACCTTTTAGCTGCAACGTTTTAGGAGATTTTGAACCTTTGTCTTCATACGGTCTTGAGTTCAAAATTGTATTTTCCATGAAACAAGATTATTTTTATTCAATAACATGGTTCTCTCTAGGGTTTCTACTATTTCTTTTATACATAAATAATCCACTTAATTGACTCCTGATGCTTTTTGTGTCCACTTTGGTCCAGGCAAATATTTCCAGTAAGGACTAAGAGACAAAGAGATTATCACGAAAGCTTGATTAAGAAGCAGATTTCAAAGCTTAGCCCATTTCCTTGTGTCTTTCAGATGTACATTCAGACCACAACGTTGACCATCTCAGTGAGCCTAAGCGCCTCTGTCTCATTAGGCATGCTCTACATGCCAAAGGTCTACATAATCCTCTTCCACCCAGAGCAAAATGTGCCCAAACGAAAGCGCAGTCTCAAAGCAGTTGTGACCGCAGCCACAATGTCCAACAAATTCACTCAGAAAGGAGGCTTTCGCCCCAATGGAGAGGCCAAATCAGAACTGTGTGAAAATCTGGAAACACAAGGTAAGTTGAACCCCTCTGAGCACATGCTTCTTCCTTTTTTCCTTTTTTTAAAGAGTGCCACTCCCTCCAGTAGTGAGCTCTGGTGAAGAGTGGTAGCAGAAACAAGCCCTCTGAAAAACAGAGCTGTTTTCTGACTGTGCTGAGAGGGAGGAGCCAACAAGTGAGAGTGTGTGATTTCATTTCCTAATAATTTGTCTGAATGTGCCTTTGGATAGCTTATATTGAATCAGGGCTAGGTCACAATATGAATCAAAGATGTTGACTTCTTGCTTTATAGCTCAGTTTTTCAGCCACACAAATACATTCATTTAGCATATGGATTCCTACAGCAGAATAATGTGTTTGCTTCTTCTCTTCTCTTCTCTTCTCTTCTCTTCTCTTCTCTTCTCTTCTCTTCTCTTCTCTTCTCTTCTCTTCTCTTCTCTTCTCTTCTCTTCTCTTCTCTTCTCTTCTCTTCTCTCCTCT